TCTGTCAATTTTGATTACAATAATACATTATATATATATATATATATATATATATATATATATATATATATGAAGCTTAACAGCACAAATTGCACAAATTCATGAAGATATAATTATCAGATCAAATTGGTTTGAGATGTATGTCAATCCTTAACACATCGTTCTTGAAAGTCACAAAATAATAGGTAACACGCTTTTCCTTTCATAGCTTATTTTTTTGTGGTGGCAGTTCATGGCAATGACAGCCATGATGGCAACGATGACGACTACAACAGGTGACAGCTATCTGTACAAACACACCTGTTCGTGTCTGTACATAAAACCTATACCCCAGGTGCAGGTGAGTGTTATTATACCCATCAATTCCAAATGTCACAATTGATTATTTCAATACCTTTTTTACAAGATTTATTATTTTAGATGTGCAAAAGAATTTTTTTTTCTTCTTTTTTTGCACATAAACTCAACCTGTTTTTCAAATTTTGGAGTCCTATTTTTTCTTTTTTTTTTTTTAAACATCAGGAAATCTTACTAGTAATTGTCATAGGAAGCAAAATGAATCAGTCTTGTTCCGCTATCATGAGTAACAAAACCACAGACACTTAATTTCCAGCTTTCTCTGGCAGTCCTGCTTGACAAATATGTGACTGTTTTTTATGCCCAACTTGTCAACTCACTGCCTACCTTGGTGTAGACATGATCATTTATTAATTCATTTATCAGCAGTTTGTAGATAACTTAATGAAAAGAAATCATTAAGCACAGGCTCTCTCACACCCACAAAAGAAAATTTAAAAAAATCATTGAAATCAAGTCGTAACTCTTATCTTGGGTTGAAGTTTTAAAGACCAACATTCTGCTTAAGTTCTTTAGGGAAAGGCCGGGGTATCATAATCTGGGTTAATTACTTCTAGTTGGGGTTTGAGCAAACAGAATGAGTTTACAGATTTATGCTTCATGGTCTTCACAACCTCTTAACTTATCTTGATATATCAGGTTATTAGAACAGCAGGTCTGTGAATGCCCAGAAAGACGCCTGTGTTTCTGTGCATTCCACAATGACTCACTTGATGTATCATCTTGGGTAAGACTGGTCCTTACTTCACACCATTTAACTGGTATTTGTAATATTATTCGTCCATTTTCCCCAAGGCAAATATGCTGATGAATTTTAAAACTCATGAGGTAATGGAAGGAATACATGTGCCACTGAATTGGCCTAAGCTAAAGGGGAAGAAAAATGGTATAAGAAGTGTTTCATGCAAAATGTTGACATTGCTGCTTATTCATGCAGATCTAGGATAAAGAACACCAAACACTAAGAGATAAACTCTTCATCAACTTGAGATTTAATTTCTAGTGGATTGTGTGTCTCATATAGCGGAATTAGAGATAATACTGAGCTTATCCAAATACTGAACTAACTCTTGACTTCCAGTTAGTTAACTTCAGATGATAACTGAGGGAAGTAGTGAAAGTCACACTACAAATCAGGAACCTGAGTCTTACATATTATGAAACTATGACCCCATTCCCATAGATTTTAGATTGATCTATCCCTGTGGGGAGTCTCATTACATTACTGTCAGCTTAACCAGCTTAAGCGTCTGTCCCGCCTACTAAAAGCTGTAAGAGGGTAATTAACTATGGTGCACGCTCGGCTGACTGCAATTTAGCATGAACCCCCAGGGAGTTAGGTCAATCTAAATCTAAATCTCTGGATCGATCTAAATCTCTGGGAATGCACCCTAAGACAGGCCAAATTTTCATGATTATTTTGATCCAAGATATATACTTATTTCTTATACTTCTCTGTGTTATATTTTAACCTGAACACATTCTAGAATGATTTTATTACTTATATTAGAACGATTTTATTATGTCATTTTACTATAAAAATTTTGTGTGTGATTTTATGTACTAGTACTAGTATGTATACTCTTTCATGTCTTTCATTCCTGAGGTGGGAATAAATAAATAAATAAATAAAAATGAAAACAATAGGATATTTGCTGGAAGACACAGGTATATACAGGTCAGATAAAACAGACATGTAAGACATTTAACAGGCAGACAGGTAAGACAATAAACAGACAATTAAGACAATAAACAGACAGGTAAGACAATAGGTAGGTAAAACAATAGGTAGGTAAGACAATAAGCAGGTAAGACAATAGACAGACAGGTAAACAATAGGTAGGTAAGACAATAGACAGGTAAGACAATAGACAGGTAAGATGAAAGAAATTGATAAAAGCAAATAGAGACAGGTAAAACAACGGACAAGTGAGACAAGAGACAGGTAACAACTTCTGGCCAGTCTGCAAGCTAATCTAGTGTGTCTGCCTCTCTATATTATCCTCTCTACATTATCTGACATCTGACCTGAAAACAGTTCAGCTCTATTGATAACCACATCTCACATGCACAGGGACCATTAACAGTGTAGTTTAAATTTTTGTCTGCATATTTACAGCTCTTAGATAATTTTTCTTTTCTCATCAAAGATAATAACATTCCCTATGTAAGAAGATCAGACTTATGATAACCTGTATGTATCCCCCACCTACCTGAAAAAAAATTGCACATGAAACTTATCTACTGTATGTTATATGTAAATATTACACCAAACTCAAGTACATGTTTTATTAAATATATCAGTTACAGTATAGTGATCACATCTTCAACTTTTTAGCTCCATCGCCTCACTTATGTCCAAAGTTTGTACTAATTAAATATACTAGTACATGCATGTACATCGTTATAGACCTGGCACTTGCCTCAGTTTTTGTCCTTCCATTTTTGTCCATACTAGTATGCTAATGGCAGCCTTTACATACAGCAGGTAAGGTCTAGAAACGGCTGGTGTTTAATCAAACTTTTGGCACTATGAAAAGCCACATCCTTGCAATACTCGTGTGTTCTCTGTCGCACCTTGTAGTATATAAAACCAATTTAAACTGGGTTTTGTGTCCTTCAGTACGTACCTATAGCATGTAAGGTAATTTGGAGTAACCTGGAGTAGAGCTAACATTCGCCAATTTAGCCAAATGCTAAAACTGACATAAATTGGCTTAACAAAAAGGGCTTGATTTGACTTGCTTTAGTCAAATTATAACCATTTGGATAACAAATTGACAAAGAAAGTGGTGTTTTGGCTAAGCGAAAAAAATTGCTAACGCTACCCCAGTTTATATACATATAACTAAGACCAACCTATAACTCTGTCATACATCTGACCAACCAAATCATCAACCTGAAGGCCAGTAAATGCAACATATTAAAGGAAAAAAAAGTTAAATTAACAACAAATATTGCCACAAGTCCACTTGGACTTGTAAGTTTGTAAAAAAAATCATGTTAATTTGCAGATGGACTTGTTATCAACCTGTCAACTGCCCCCAAGTCAACTCACAGTCTGGCTAATCAGACAACAATAACCCAAGACCACTTATATAGTCATTTAAAAAATTAAATATGAGACCTAGCTATGACTGTCTAAAATATGTTCACTGTGACAGGGATTATATATTTATATTATTTCCAAGTACTGTAACATCAGTTTCAATCTTTTATTGAGAGAGAGTTGCCTAGCTGTTATGTTTAGCTACATGAATTCTGCATGTGGTAATCTGTCAAAAATATGAATAAAATGGATCAATCATATATTCCAAATCTCTGTTTCATTAGCAAGTAAACAACTCAGCTTTATAATTAAAAAGTTTAATACAAAACTTGAAATCCCACAACGATGCAACACCATGAGGGTGTTTTTAAAACATTTCAGAACACACGATCCGTAGAAAATGAAGAAATGCTTTTTATGTTTGTATTCATGTACATGATCAAAATCTATTATCACTTTAATTTCCCACTATAGGACAAGCTACAATTGCCACCTATTTATATGTACAGCTTGTATACACTAATAACTTTAAACAATACAAATGAAATACGTCTTCTTATCTTTCAGTACCCTTTGCATGTATTTTGACTCAGGCTCAAGTCTAGAAAGTGAAGCCTACAATACAGGCTATAGATCACAAACTAAGTCCATCTACTTGGATGCTAGCTTGTAGTACTGTAGATGAAGTGAAATGTCCAAATAAAATACAAGTAAATTTGGAAACCACAGACAACATGCCAAAGCCTACATAATAATCACCATCAGTTAATACCCACTGTATTGTACACAGCACATGTGTAAGGGATACAGGTTGATCGGATATCATGTGTAATAAAGCCAAGAGTACGATCTCTTACAACACGGAAGCCATATCATGTTTACTTGTTGATCTGAACTTGAAAAGGGTCGTCACAAATCTCTCCTTTGATCAAACACCTATTTAAATACCTACCTGGGTGATTTTAGGCTAATTCTGGTCATGTCCATCCCCCTGACACGTCAACAGCGCTTAATCGTGCTGCACACCTGAACTCACAGCTGATAAGTCACACATAACAGAGGAGATAATGTTCATTTGCCAGCCTCACATTGTGCCTGACCTCGTTTCTGGATTGTGTTAGATGTGCTAGTCACGTGGTACCTGGCTGCGATGAGAAACGCAATCACATTTATTACTTGTTGGAAGAAATTTGAAGCTGTATGTATCTCACTTTCTATCCCCTTACTTTCGTACCCACCTTCCTTCGAAATAATGATAGAAATAATTATAAGATAAATAGATAAAAATAGTAAATATTAATGATAATACATAAATAAAATGACCAAAAAACTCTTTTTGTCATATTATTACAAAATTTACTAAAATGTCACAACCATTTGCAGATTTTTCAAACATCACATTGTTTATTCTTCTGTTTATCTGAACATCAATTTCTCTCCAACAACAAATTCCAAATTCTGTCTCAAACTTATGTATGGATAATTATTTAAAGGCAATAATGACTTGAAAGACATATATACTTCAACAATAATCTTTATTGTTACATAATAAGTTCATAATATTGCAATAAGTTGTACAACAAGAAAATGTTCAGCAGCTTCAAGCTTCACTGAATAATTTTAACAAAATTACAAATACTTGTTCAATTAGTTTTTATGACAGCATAATCAAATGTTCATATATGCATTTTATTGTGATAACATATGCAAGCAGTGACCTCAATTATAAACAACTTAGCTTGAGAGATCATGCAGATGCAGTTTTATATTCAGGATACAATCAATATCAATATATAACAGTTACACCAACCTCATGCTACCTGTCACATAGCACTTATCTTCAATTTCTACCTTTAATAACCATGCTTTTCTAGCATTTTTGACATCATTATTTTCTTTTATATCAAAATGCCACAATGCTGGAAATGCTTTAATTCAAATTGCCCTTTCTCCATCACACATTAGGAATGACAGTTGAAATGTCAGTTTTACCTCTCAGTTCAACAAAAAAGGATTGAAAAGTTCTCAGACTATATCAGTAAATGTTATGTATTGTAACACATTCTTGCATGTGTGAATAGCTGCCATATACATTCACACAAAGGCGAAGAATCCTTTTCCTATAAATGATGATGAAGGTGAACGTGTATAGCCAGGGTTAACACAAACTTTCGGAACTGTATTCAGTCTCAGTATTTATCATCTTTAACTGAATCTTGTATTGACATCTACCCAGTATGACTGTGCTTTCGTGTGTGTGTGAGTGTGTGTGTGTGTGTGTGTGTGTGTGTGTGTGTGAATGGCAGTGCGCTGTATTTGTGTTTGCGTGTGTCTGTGTGTTCACCTGCAAGTGTATGTACCTGTGGGTGTTATATGCATTTCCATGTGTGTGTGTGTGTGTGTGCGTGCATGCATGCGTGTGTGTGTGCACGATTTGACCTAGTCTCCTGACATCCATGATCTCAGTTAATGTCTATGACTTCTGTATCATCATCTTTCACCAGTTTTCTGCTACATAACAAATACTCCCCCCAGTGCTGCACCCTGTATAAAGCCACGCTGTCCAGTAACCACTCTCTGTTCAGGGTTGCCGCGCCATACTTCTTGTAGATTTCTAGAAGATAAATTGCCAATAAACATGTGAGATTTCGTTACAGATTTTCAGTCTTGTTCAAATTCTGGCTAAATAAGCTGCCTTAATTTAATAAAATGCCAGCTAGATTCAGTTACTAGATCAGTTCTATACATAACAATGTACCTGTCCAAAAAATATAAAAAATAGTAAAAGCAAAAAGAAAAACATAATATGAAAATTTTCAGTTTTTTTTACTCATTTATCTGCTAAAGGTGGCAAGAACAAGAAAGGTAAAACACACTGTACAGTGTAAACGATACTGGCAAGTAAGACTGGATTTATACAGATCGATCTAACAGGATTGATCCATCTCCAAGGGGTTTCTCACTAAATTGCATTCAGCTTAAGCAGCTTAGACATCTGGCACGCCTAATGAGCTGCTTAACTATAATTAATTACCCAGCTTCAGTAGGCATGGCAGACATCTAAGCCACATAAATTGATTGCAATTTAGCAAGAACCCCCTCGGAGATAAATCGATCCACAGTTAGTGCGATAGTGTCTGTAAATGGTCCCTTACTATCACACTTGTCCCGGTCCACGCCGTGCTCTGAGGGCTGGATGAGGACCACCCTCTTACTGCCAGGCTGGAAGCTGAACATGGAGGGGTCCTGTACAGTGGCGCCACCACACAGCTCCACCAGGTTCTTCAGGTCGTCTGGTAACAGAAAAGTTGATGAAAGAAATGACTGAATGTTTTCAATGGGGATCATTGTAAATTTTGCAGATATTGCTTTTTTTTTTTTTACAACATAATTTCTTTAAAATGGAACATTCTTATTGAGTTGTAAAAAATACTATATAAAACGAAACTGTAACGATATAAAACTGATGTTTAAGAACATGTATGTATGCATGTATGTATATTCTTAATAAAGTGTTTAGGAAAAGAGTGATGTTGTGATGATTATGTACTCTAAATTTATAATATTCTATAATATAGATCAACTAAGCTAAGACTAATACTAATGAATAAAGTACGCACAAGGTCATAAATCACCTACCAATGGAGAGTCCAGTATAACCCCCCGCGCAGCAGATTTCATAGCCCCTAAGTAACAGCTGGTCGTCTGACGTCTGCCTGGCGCGCTGAGGTCCACGGTGGTTGATGCCATTGACCATGTCTCCTCTGATCTCATACTGAGTCTGGAAATATTTGGGAGGTATTGACTGAATTACCATTGTATCCCATTTTCTTTTTTATTTTACCCTATAAATAATATCTATCTTCATGTGACTATACTTAATAAATACAACTGTATAACATATGCCAAATGGTAAAGATTGATCTTTAAAAATACAAAAATGTTAAATTATTATTTGATAGTTCATCCCAGATTTAATGAAACCTATTAATTTCACTCTCTGCCTGTTACAAAATTGTAAAATTTGCTTTTCAAGCTGTTAAGTTTTATCCCAAGAATAAATCAGAGGTTGGAGAATATTCAAAAATATATAAACATACGTACAAAATAACAAGCAGTTGACTACTTGGTATAATATTCATCGGAACATTTGCATCCTGGGAGAGGCTCACATATATGATGTAATTTACTCCAAACAAGTAAAAGGTAATTTTTATTGAAAGAGAATCACCTCTGGGATGAGCTTGTCTTGGTTCAGACAGTCCTCTATCCACTTGTAGCTAACCACCCATCGTCTGCCAGCTATCCCCATGAAATATTTCAGTGTCCTTTCACAGGCCAAAGGATGCTTTACATCTACAATATGTTCAACAGGCATTAATTCATTTGAATACTTTGTGTGATGTCAAAGAGAAATGAGTAAGATTTTTTAAAAGTTACTAAAAGAGATGATTCACAAGAAATCTATGGCATAAAAGTCAACAATAATCAATGTAATGGATCAATAATAAAAACCCTATAATAAAAGACCTACAAATCCTGTCTTACCAGGTTTTACTATAACATGTGTAGTACCGGAGTTGAACTTTGCCCAAAATTTCCCACCAAATCTGTCACCAAAATTCTTTATTGTAGACTGAAAAAAATTGTACAGTAAGTTTTTACATATCATTTTTATCTGTGGACTTGACATTTCCTCCAAATAAATCCCAATAAAAGCTGGATACTACTGCAATGTGATCACTTGGCAATGGTGAATCTCAAATCATCTATCAACTGATTTTTTTCTTTTAAAAAAATTATATTTACTCTAAATTTCTATGATTTTATATAGTTATTTAAAATAAATACTCTTTTCAAACCATAAAAATCTCAACCAAAACTATAAAAAACCCTCATATACTTGTCTGAGGAAACTTACTATTTCATGTTTTCCCAGTCCCGTTGCCACAATGGACATCACCTTTCCCGTCCTGCCGCTGACCACTTCCTTCGTCCATCCTGAACACAACTGACCACTGGTCTCTGGTTTTTCTTGTCCACCATGGTTCCTGGTCCTTTCTTGGTTTCCACTACATTGCACTCTGTTTGTTTTCAAAGTCTGTGGATTGTTCTGTCTTAGACAGGTGCTGTCTTTCCTAAAAGGAGAGGATTCTCTGGACATTTTGCTGTCTCCTGACCCCAGGGCTTTTTTACCAGACCCTGGACTGTTCCTGACTGACCCTGGCGTAGGCCTATCTGGGGTGTCCTTTATAACACAGGGTGATTTACTTTTTCTTGTTTCTGAAGAATTGTTTGCGTTTGCTGAAGAAAAAGATAGACATTGACAATTAATCTTCAAATCTAAGCATGAAAAAAATATAAATCAGATAACCTACTAGTAAGATTTTTTTTTTTTTACATTCTGGATAAAAAATTGTTTGACCAATTTTAGGAACTTATATATATATATATATATGTCATATTACTGAAGCAATATTTCTTAAAATAATTCTAAAAAATTAAACAATGAATAAAAAAGCAGATTAAATAAAGTTAATTCCTCCTCTTAAAAAGAAAAAAAACTTTCAGATAATAAAAATAGTATGTGAGGAAAAAATGGGTCTCTCACTAAAACTGAATACCTTGCTGTGTTGTCTTAGACACAGTGGTGCCATCTTTGGACTTGTAATGATCAATGAACTCAGTCAACTTCTGAATCTCCGGAGTGCGCTCCACATGGGATGTTGAAGACGTTTCCTTGGCAACCTTCACAGGAGGTGGAGAGGGAGGACGTGGACTGACAAACAGATCATCCCCACTGTCATTTACTGACATGTTGTCTGGTTCTTCATCTGAAGATCTTATATCATCCTCTGCCGTGTCCTTTTTCTTGTCTGAAAAGATGTGATAAAACAAAATTATTATTTTCACTCATATATCATACCGATTTCATCCAAAAAACAAGTTCTACTTCTGGTTACATACAGGATCGTCAACACATCAAGTGGACTTTGGTAAAGAGCATATATGGATATGCAAGAAAAGGTACACATAAATGTAAAGGAGTCAAACATGCCTGTCTGAGACTGCACAGCATCAGTTCTAACACCTTGGTTCAAAGCTGCCTTCAGGCGTTCCATTTCTCTCTGCAGTCTCTCCAACTCTGCCTCTGTCTGTCTTTGTTGCTGAAAGTGTAAATAAAAGATTCAATATATTATACTGTAAATACTGATAATATACCTTTTGTGATCACAATCTCAATATTCAGTCATCATTAGCCACTTCTGCTACTTCATTTGATAGGGATTTAAATTTTTCATAATATTATCAGTGTAAGTGATATAATGCCTAATTTTCTCCATATAATTTCAGTCCTTTAGACCATGTACCAAATGAATATTTTACACTCAACAAAAACTGCACAAAAAATTCAAAATATTTCTGAATTAAGCGCTGCAATCATAAGAAAACACCAGGAGAAAACTTCTTACCTGGGTCGTAAGCAGGGCCTCACTTTCACTAGAGAAGGAACTCGTGGGGTAACGATTAGCCGATTGACCTTCACCTTGCATGTCTTTCTCGGTAGATACTGAACTATCAGGATACCGATTGTCCTCTTCAGTTTCCTCAACTGCCTTCTCTGCAGTAAATAAATCTTCTGAGTAATTCCTTTCTACAGGTGCTTCACTCTCAGAAGTATCCCTTAGATAATACTTCGGATCATGTTCTTCAATGTGTTCTTCATCATCAGACAGGTTCTGTTGATTTGAAAGTTTGTGACCTCTGCCTTTATTCAAGGAATCAGTGCTTGGGTACGGTGAAGGTTCAGGTTTTTCTAACTGAGAAACTTTTTCTTTGGCCAATGGGCTGAGAAACTCACTTTTCTCACCAGATGGTGTATTGCAAGACACCCCAGGGCGAGGACTCTGGTTCCTGGTACCACTGGTCATCAACAGCAGAGGCGACTTCAGTCTTTTGCCAATAGTGGGAATACCCAATCTCGTCACAGGACTGACAAAATCATTTCTCCCAACAGATGGGGCATTACAAGACACTCTGGAACCAGGACTCTGAAAATCATTGCCATTTTCCATCATCGGTATTTTTCCACTTTGCTTCCTTGTTGGTGTATTACTGTAAGACTTGGAAGTGGAAGCACGGGGGGATTTCTTGGATGGGGGATGGATATCAGGAAGTTCGTCATCATCAGTTGTATCATCCATGGTGTTTTCATTTTGTAATCCGAGTTCCTTATTTGTTGGAATATGCCCCAAAGGCTGTAAAATGCTTAGACTTTGTGATTGTGGCCAGGTGTGGGAACCTTCTGGAACATGGCTGAATTCTATACTACTAGTTCTTTGGTGGTCAGCTTCATCTTCATCATCGCTACAAACAGCAAGGTCTGACAATTTCTTTCTGTGATTTCTTGAGCTGAGCCTAGAACTTAGGGACGTGGTTTTCATGCTCTTAGTTTCCCCTTGACTGGCAAGATTTCCTGATCCCACTTTTAGTTTGTCTGATTTTGAAAGCACTTCTTCATCTTCCTGTGAGGCAAGCTCTCCAATGTCTTGCTTATACCTGCTTTCATTGGGCTGGGTTTCTAGTTGTTTTGCTGATACTTCAATGTTTGCCTCCTCCTCAGCTTCGCCATCTTCTGAGGAGCTGTCGCTCTCTAAGATCCGTCTCCCTCTGATGTTCACCACTTTCGGTTTCCTCTCTAAACATCCACCAGAATGTTTACTATCTGAAGAACTATTTGTATCGACATCAATGACCTCATCCTCATCTTCTACAGGTTCAAGGTCATTATCCTCAAGGTCAATAACCCCTTCATAAAGATCACTGACCTTGACCCCATTATCAAGGTCTTCATCCTCTACATCATCTACAAGAGATCCACAAGTGGAGTCATTGTCCAATTCTTCATCCAGTCGTGTTTTAGAGGAAGGCGATTTTTGGTTTACTGGTTTCAGTACTTCACAAGATGAATCTACAAAATTAGTTGTGCTGATGCTGTCATATTCCTTTGAAACTAAATCTTCCAGCCTCCCCTCTTCTTCTTCTCCTTGTTCTAGGTCATCTGATATGTCCCCATTTTCATCTGTCAATTCAACTTCAATATTTGGAACTCTGGCATTGTTGCTTGCATTTGGCTCTTCTGAGTTTATCGTTATTTCACTTTTGGCTTTAAAACTATCTGGTATAACTTGTGGTGAAGTACTACTCGAGTTGTTTTCATGCCTGGAATTCTGAGGTAAAACCTGCAACTGCTGAGTGACCTTTGACCCCTGACCTAGACTTGACCTTGACCTCTTATAAGTCTGCTCATTATTCTTATCTTCACCTGTTTCAGATTTCCTCTTTTTGGATTTGGATCTTTTATATCTGTCATCTTCGACAGAACTATTTTCAGACACATCCACATGACCTGCTCTGTGATTAAACTGCACAGATATAGCAGGGGAGCCCTCAGTGGAGCCAGCTTTTTCATACTGTTTGCTCCGTTTAGCAGGCACTATAAAAGCAGGCGAGTCATCCCGAGAGGCACCCTCAGTTGCAGGAACAATATCATCTGAGATCACACACGGTGACCCAAAACTGGCATTTAGTACATTATTCTCTTCACTGACTTTTATCCCAATTTTTTCCTGGCTGGAGCCCATTCCCTGTGACCCACAGGGTGTACTGTCAATGACTGGACCCTGCTCCATACTTAAGGTCACTACACCTTTCCCCATGTTGGAACTTGAAACCTGAGAGTCTTGGCAACCTTTGAGGTCCTTGTCACAAGTTGCCCCCAGTTTCTCACTTGGACTAGAACCGTGTATGTTGTATTGAGACTCGCCCACAGTGGGCATCTCCAAGTTTTCTCCCAGTGGACTGAGCAGGGGGGTGTTCTCAAATAAACTGTCATCAAGGGATGGCAACACAAATTTACTTGCTGATGTCCTTTTAACTTTCTCACTTCCTGGTTTGGTTGGTTCACTTCCTGGTTTGGAAGGGGAGACAGGATCCAAAGAAAATGTTTTTCTGTTGGATTTTTTAATGTGCAGAGTGACATCAAGATGTGGATACTCCAGTTTTTCAAGAGGACAGGATGCAGTGGTACCAACTTCTTCTTTCTCTGAACAGATATTTTCATCTGACTCTGGAATGATTTTCACTGGGGACTTGGTCTTCTCAGAAAGCTCAGCCACAACATTTTCTCCTACTTCAGAACAGCTTTTATCCACATCTTCTTCAGCGTCAACCATCTTTGCTGGTGCGTCATGGTTCTGAGAAGATTCACCTTTCATTTGATTGAACATTGAGGGGTTTTGTACACCTGCAGGTGCTTGGTCTTCCTGTGTGACCAAAACCACACAATCCTCCGTCAAAGGTAAGTCTTTGGTATTGGAATTTTGACCTTGAACTTCACCTATATGACCTTCAACTTGACCTTTGATTAGATGACCTTGACCTAAGTGACCTGGACTGACTGCCTCATCCTGAGATGACAAAGATATAGTCTCCACAGAGGCAACCTTCATACATGCAGGGTCTATTGACTGTTGCCGTAGCAACAGCAGCGACTCACTCTGTTCTGTTTCTCCGGACTCTCTTTTACCACTGGCCTCAAGGTCACCAGACTTGGCAGTGCTGACAGGTTCTGGATCAACATCTGGAATATTTGATAAAACCTATCTATAAATCATGAAAATACAGTGAAATTAGCAATGTGTAACATTGGAATAAGATATTTCCTCCAAATCATCACAAACTACAAGAAAGTGAAACAACATATGCAAGTGTGCTGAATAATCTTGTACAAAAAATACTTTCAGCTAATAATAGGAATTTTTATCCATAAAACTAGCAATAGGATTTTTTCTTGATGGTATAAATTAACAAAATAGTTTTCTCAAAAGTTTGAGAAACAAAACTTACAAAAGAGTTATGCAGGTAGAGGCTTTTAATTATCCTAAAACATAAAAGATAGGAACATGGATGTTCTTACCTAGGTTGGATTTTTGAAATTCTACTTGGGATAGTGCCAAATCTACAGATTCTGTGTCTGAGCCCTGTTCTCTGTCATCTTCATTCATATCTTTAACTACAGAGGACTGAAGTGAAGGTGAAACGGTATCTGAAATTAAAAATTAATGAAGGAAAAATACAGCACATTTTGTATTGCATTGAGTATTTCACATTTGGTGAAAATATTTACAAAAAAATTCCTACTACATCTAATAAATGATTGGAAGTTCTCTGCATCTAATCACCTGTCCTGAACTGCAAAAAATATTTTGCTGAGAGGGAAAGGAACCAAGTCTTAGCTTTACACACCACTCACCAAACAGAATATTTTATGTTATCATAATGTTTTTGGTTAAAAAATTATAATAGTAACATTAATATAGTGCTGTTCTGTGTTTGCTGGGAAAATGTTTATATAAACTACCCAATATATCGGTACTTTTGCTTATGAAAACTTTAATATCTTAAGAATTTCTGGACAATTTCTAATAGATAAAAGGAAATTTTCTTATACTAATTACTCTTCTTACAAAGAAATTATACTCAGACAACAACAGTCCATCTTCAACAAACCTTCATCAGTTACTGGAATACAGGGAGTCGTGGGATCCATGATTTGTACTTCCTTCTCCATTTCTTGACCAGAGTTTTCCACGCACGGAAAAGAAATACTTCTCTTTTTAGACAGCGACGACTTATTCCCATGAGTGGCAAGCTTCAGTTTTGTTGGAGTTTTCTTTTTCTGCAAGTCTTTGGCCATTTCTTTAGTGCTTGACCAATCAGCTGGTGCAATTTTTTTCACTGCTGAACCATTCCTGTTACTACTCGTTGCTTTTTGTATTAGGCCCAGCTTGTTGGACTTTCTCTCGCTGGCTTGTACACTTTCTTTCAATTCTTGTTCACTGTCATTATTATCTTTTGAGCAGAGAGGTTCCTGGCCATTAGAGGGGAACAAAATAGTTCTTCTTTCGTTACATATATCAACTGAAGGTGGCACCACATTTTCACTCTGTGTCTCTGTTTCTGCAGCACCAGCAAGACAGGCCTCTTCCACATCTGCTTGCTGTTCTCTAAAAGCCTGACTAAGCATGAGTTCATGGGATTCTGCTTCACTTATTTTATCAATCATTTTCTGTACGTCTGATTGGGTGGACTGGCTCTCCTCAGGAACTGCTTCCGGTCTATTCTTGCTTCTAGGTCTCCTCCTCCTTTCGGTGCCCTTATCTTGTTCCTTCTCATCTGGAACAGCAAATAAAGTGGTATCTGCCTCCTTTAATGTCTCAACTTTTGCCCTGTTTAATTCTTGTTGCTTCTTTGCCTTTTCCTGTCTCTGTGACTCTCTCCTTCCCCCACCTCCTCCTCTCCCTCGTCTTCCTTTAGGCTTCCTTGGAGTGTGCTGACTAACTACAAACTCGTACGGGTCTTCCTGTGTGAAAGTCACCTCCTGAGCAGCAGACATTTTCTGGAATGTGTCCTTTTTCTCATCTCTTGTGATAAATCTAGTCCTGAATATTTTCTTTCCCAAGGAAAGTGGAGAGGTAGCTCCTTGTCCTGTAAATTCATTTTGGTTGTCAACATCATTGGAAGTTTGGTTCAGTGAATTCAACTGATTCTTGATTAATTCAAGTCCATCACTGCATTCTGATTCAACATGACCCTGGGCTGTCATGGATTCAGCGCCACCTTCAGTATTTCCCAAGGCACCTATCCCATAATTGCCACTTTCTTGTGACACATCATCTTGCACATGATTGGTCAACCAGTCCTGGACTCTCTCTATGGACTGCCTTCTCTCCTGGATACCTGCTCCCGTAACTCTATGGCAGGCATCCCCTACCAGTCTCTCCTCTGTGGATTCAGAAAACATTTCTTTGTGAGGAGGCTTCATCGTTACAATTTCATCTGCTTCTCTGTTTCTTAAAATTTTCCTTTCGTTGTTGTCAACATTTTTAGTGATGGGCTCTGCATGTAAAGTATGACTATCTTCTTCAACCGTTTTCAGCTTTTCATCTTTAGATGAGGCGCTGTCCTTCTCTCCCTCAACAGTGTCACAAACAAAATCTAGAACGCCTCCTCCATCTGTCTTCTCATTTTCTTGTTGAGGTAAAAAAGATGAAACATGATTTTCTATAACTGGTGGACTGTCAAGAAATTCTTCTGAAAATGAGGTATTTTCAAGATAACTTCGTAGAGCCTCTGGGTCTTGTCTGAACTGTCTAGATCTGGTTGATCGCCTGTTCACAAGAGGATTTGCAATGGGCTTGTCTTGACTGGTGACTCCGCCCAGTGGTCCATCTACAAGGTACTGTGCAACCTGGTCAATAGATGGCACCACATTCTCCTGATTTCTGTTGTTTGTTCTGCTTCTCCTTCCCCTTCTGGTCGCTGTGCTACGCTGTCTGTTGTTACTGCTGCTGTTACTGTTGTTGCTGGTACCACTGATGTTTCTGCATCTTTTTCCTTTGGTTTGTTTAGCTCTGGGAAAAGATGAACTGAAAAAGCAGGAGATAATTCAGACATTCAAATGTATCAACTTCAACTGGCAATAAGTGAAAATATGGGCAGAGAGGTGGGTTCTGCACAAGCTGAAATGGAATTCTAAATAATTTTTTATTTGAAATTTTTGTCATCATTCACTTTCCAGTTTTTCTAAATATTAAAATGCTTAATTTAGTGTCTCAAATGCATGAAAGTTGTCCTTTTATTTCACAAAAATAAAAACAAAAAACATTGCTTTCCATCAAATAAACAATCAATTCAGTTAAAATATAAGGAAAACTGAGTGTAAGAAAAATACTTTATCTAAAATTATGAGCTTAAATAAAAGTTGATCTCAATATGATGACAATAAGAGTTGTTTTTACTGGGATATATTAAGACCCTGAGCACAAAAAATCATGGAAAGCACATAAACAACAGAATAAGTTTCCATCTTTCAAAAATTTAGTGTATACATAGGTTAGAATCTGGGCATCTGTATATTAATAAACTTACTGAACATTAGTGTTTGCTACCACTGTGTGCTGACCACTCTCTTCACTAACACCATCTGAAATCAAATCAAATATGATATAATTACAACGCAAAAACTTTTCTGAGAATCATAATAAACTATGGCATTTCTGTAGCAGTTTGACAGTTTAGTAAGGTGGGCAATTGAGGTGTAAAAAAAAAAATTTAACATTTCTACAATCATGGTAATAATCATCCTCATATCATTCTGATGCCTATCTGAGAGAACTCAATATTTTTCCTTTGTTGTAGCTCAACACTGAAAGGTAACCATAAATACTAGAAGTGAGAAGTGGTCCTGTCCAAGTCTACCCCCCGTGAAGATATTCACTGGCATAGGTCAAGGAACAATTTGTCAATCTGAACAGTGATACAAGTCAACAACCTGAATAATAACTAGAACTGGCCAGTCCCTGATACAAGTGGTCAGTTTCCCACCTCTGAGTCATAAGAACTGACCTTCAATATACACAAGGTCCTGCCCCTCAGCCTTCTTCCGTTTACCATAGCGCAAGTTCTTTCTATTTTTCTCATTCACAACATTTTCTTCAGCCAAATATTCCTAGAGAAAATAATCAAAAATCAAATTAATTATAATCGGAAGTAATTTGATAATAAATTTTATCTTGAACTTTGTAAGACAGATACTGAAACTGATATTTTTATTTCGACTCAGTAAACCTTCCCCAGGAATAAGATTAAATGCTTTGTCATACTGATCTGCCTGTTAGAATTCCTTGCTGGAAAAGTTATCATTTCACTTCAGATTCTACATATATTTGGAAAAAAGTACTTTTATTCAACACTTAGTTTCCTATTGTAAAAGCAGTACATGGTCAAATATCTTTCCTATTTCTGCCATGTTTTATCCAGAGACACAATACACTATAGTATACCTGCTGCGGACTGCTGCGTTTTCTGCCCCCTGGTGACGTGATTCTTGGACTTCCCTTCGTCTGCGGGGTGCAGCTAAACACGTCACTACCAGGTCCACGGGGTGGGGAAACTGGAGAAAAAACTCATTCTTAATTATATATGTCAAGGTACAAGCAGCACTACTGAATTGGGTAAACAATAACTACAGTGAATTTGTTGATATATAACTCTTTTCTCCATAAACCATATAGTAATTCTTAAATTAGAGACTAAATAACAGGACTCATGCACTACTTTTTGATAGTGGTCCACATGGTGGATTGTAGAGTAGTGGATTACTTTTTATGTAATCTTTAAGTCATAAATAACTGTTTCACATTTGACAATTTATTAGGAGAGGGCAGAAAACCTTTTCCACTGCTTACTTTATTCTTCCACAGTAATGCTAATATACCTCTTTACCACCCTTCTATAATAAATATGTAATCAGGGATTTTAATGCAGTTGGCCTTGGATGATGTTATTTAAAAGGATAACTCTTCGTATGAGATCTATATTTCACATTGGTCAGAACAAACAGTTATTATACCTTTCATATAAAGCAACTTACAGAGGATCCCAGAATCTTCTTGGAAAGCTTCCACAAGGTTTCTGATTGCGTCCACAATCTGTGACAGTTTATTTCTGGCACTGAGGCTCCTAGAAATAGTGGATTTTATGTTGAGATTGTAGGATGATAGTTTGAGACCATTTTCTCTTTACAATACCATACACGTTGCTGATAAAGTGTAATATGTGCGTATTTAATTTTGAGCTCTCGTCTAACTCAATGATGGGAAATAACTTTTAAATGCTCACTCTGAATGGCAAAAGAACTTTAAAATAGCACATAACAATAGTAAATCAAACAACCAATTCTTTCTGTGGGGAGTTTTAAAGACAAATGGATTACCAAAATAATAGGAATCAACTCAAAATAAATTGTCTCCATTTCTATTCTGTGTTGTTATACTATAGTTATTATACTATTAAATTACCTTTTAGTGATGTTTTTCTTGCAGAGTGGGCAGGGAGCCGAGGGTTTGTTTCTTAAGTATTCTGTAACACAAAACCTGGAAAACACACATCAAAATTTTCAAAATGCCAATGTCACAGTGTTACATTTTATTATATTTATATGTCCCGTCAGAGACTGACTTTTTACACTTAACAACCCATGCTGCCAAGGAAAGTAAACAAAACTGGTCTGTTTGTGCATTAATTGCTTCTCAAGACTTGTACCTTGCAATATGAATTACAAAAGTCTCGATTAAATGAAATTTCAAAGAGAATTTTGTGTTGGAGTTTTAGTAAAAAAAATACAGGGGTCAAAAATGTCCCGTCAGAGACCGATTGTCATTCCCACATTTATTTCAATTCAAATTAGCTGCTTGTTTTACATAATCCTTTATGGTCCAGCTAAATAAAAATGTATTTAAATGTAACCATGTAGATCATTTACCAACTGTAATCTTTAAAATTGTCTCTAAAATGTCCCGTCAGAGACATTTCAAATACCGTGTTTTGACCCATTATAAACAGCTTCGGTATGAGCCCAGGTTATAAAATTGTAAGCCAACTTTTCAGAGATCCCGGTCAACCACAATTTTATAATTGATCTATCTGTGTGTCTCCATGAGAAAATGATTTTGAACTCCCCATTAAAAAAAAACTGGTTAACCCCTACTTCCAGTTCACAAAGATTAATGTAAAACATACATGTTACTATTTTCCCTCAAAATCTATTACTAATTTTGAGAAAAATATCATAGACAAGAAGCATTTTTTTTGCAGATCTAGAGAATCTAGAGCAGGATTATGTAAATCTGATTGTTCCCTTTCACGTCCTATACCTCCTTTAGAATTTATTTATTTTTATAAAGGCTATTATAATACAGAAATAAAGTAGAAAGATTTCAGACAAAGCACAATAATGTTCCTTCAAAATCAAAATGAATATTCAGTTTTACCTGCAGAACTGGTGATCACACTTGGTTGATACTGGGTTCTTCATTAACTCCAGACTGGAGAGGAAAGGAGAAGACTCATTATACTAGTATTTCATTAATACATTAATTAACAGATTTATCTGTTCATCATTCACTACTACTGAGAACATACTATGGAAAGTGTTAGCATTAAATTTGCCAAATGCTAATGATGATTAACTTTTCCTACATAAAAAATCATAGTTTCTACATCCACTTACTTATGTCTATAACCCCTGTAGTATTTAGAAGATCCAATTACACAATTCATCACAGTAGGCAAAAAGTTTTCAAATCTTATTTTATTTAAGTGCAATTTTAATTGCTTAAAAGCATGTACAATAGGAGAAATCTCTATGCTTTTCATTCTGCAAACTAAAGCATGTTACTAACATACCATATTGAGCACTCTAAGCTTTTCTGCATCAGTGCCAGTGTCTGCTGCATCTTGTTCAGTCGTCCAGGACTGCTACTGCTCTGACTGCTAGACATAGTGCAACAACCTTCAGCAGAAAACAGTGACAGGATTTTAAAAATTATATACAGTATGATATTGTATCATAAAATAAACAGTACATACTTTGAACTTGCTTGTGAGCAAAATAGCAAGCACAGATGCTCAAGTCAACATATTATTTTTAATCATAGACCAAGGTGTTAATGAACCCTCCCCCCACTCTAACCCCCCCCCCCCTCCCCACCAAAAGAAAATCCAAAGTTCTGTATTCAAAATTGAACCTCCAGTAAAGTTTACTGGTACATTAGGTGAGAATTAAGTTTGCCTTATTTTAGTATTAAACAGAAAGGTTTAATCAATCGAAAAATATCCCAAACACAAATACTGCTGTTTCTTTTTTTTCTAATACCCCAACAGCAAAATTCCGGTGTGGCGTGATAGACCCGTGCCGTGACGAAACCATTCTGCACATGCGCATTGAGGGTAGATTGAAAGAAGGGACTTCTGGTATGACGATATCGTCGTAGGTATTTTTGGAACTATTGACCTTTCAATTCGTAATTCAGTGGTTTTTGCCATGAGAGAGTATGTATTTGATAATCTTACAATAAACTCCACGGAGGAATGTTGGAAAAGTTTTATATAAACACCAAAGGAAGCGTGTGACACACCTCTTATTACTGAGATTGTGATCGTGACTGAACTGTTTTGCTCTGTGATGAGGTTGTAGTAAGACTCGTAGTATAAATGTTTTCACACTACAATGTTCTTTCAGTTTAGAGTTCAGTAATTGTTGTCGAGAGAAAGTGTGTGTTTGACAATAATATAACTTCCTCTATGGGGAAATGTTGGAAATACATATGTAGCTACGTGCTGTAAGTCAACTTTGTCAGTGTCGTGAATGTGACTGCGTTTGCATAAAGTCGTCGTAAGACTCGTATGAATGCCCATTATATAATGTTAGATATGTTCACAGGTGTGTTACACGTCCAAAGTGAGAAGGTCGATGCATTCCCAACAGTCCACCTTCAAGTCAGTTTTTTTATATCATAAAGCTTTAACACATTTATTTTATTTCATTGTTCGGATTGATTGGCAGAAGAAAATAGCTTAAAATTATAGTGTGTGTTTGTGTGTATTATGATGATTACTTGTTGTATTTGTTCTATATTTTCACATNCCGGGGAGCAACTCACCAGTACCTGTGACCTCAGATTTGTGGGGGAGGGGGTCTAAACTGATGTGTTTTCTCTTTATCGTCATATACTGACCCAATGCAGGGATCCAAAATCCAAAATTAGATACTTACAAACTATTCCAACTTGTTATAGAGTAATCCAAACAGCTAGTTCCCTCAATTTGTGAAATATTCCACTGTTGTGTAAGCAGTAAATGCATCTCGCGCCAACAAACCTCAATTTCACATTTCCCGCGAGATGGGGCCTTCATTAAAAACGCGATTTCTTTTTTTAAAATGTTGAATATTTTCGCACCAACACCAGAATGTAATGTCAGAGAGAACATATATATTTAGGAATTATGAGGCAAATCATGTTATTTAGGTACGTAAACGAACTTTATCCATCGTAATTTCGCACTCGGGAAAGAATCCGTCACTGAACCGGAAACAGCCGAGGATGGCCGAGTAAGAAACAACAAATATGGCAACCCATGTTTTGATGAGGAGGGGGAAGCGGGCTGTCGCCGAATACATGAAGGCGGAATGTCTGCGACCGAGCGGACAGCAGCAATTAAACGAACTCTTAGAGCACCTGCTCGATCCATCAAAGACTTTGGATGATTTTGAGACTCTAGATTGGTGCCGGTGGCTGATGGCAGGGGGGACAACTTTTGACGATTTCGCCAAAACAGGTGGAGCAATATGTCACTGCTGTACATCTGCTGTCTTCTCTGATACTATATTTTTACTGACAGCTGTGACCGTGTTGTTGTTCAGGATTTATAATAAGACTCGTCAAATTCACTTCAACTTTGTTAGGATAGGGTCATAGATATGTGATTATAGATAATATGTCATAATATCACTTTTTCTGCTTGCATTTATAAACAACGTCATTTGTTACAAGAGAGTAAGAGTAAGAATGTTCTGTCTAGCAGTTTGTTATTTGTACAGGGAGCCAGATCTGCTATGTTGTACCTAATTATCTTATCTTATTGATTGAACACTGCATGTTTAATAACTTCACCATGTTCTGCAGGTTACTGCTGTGCCATAGCAACATAAATTTATACAATATTACTAGTACATGTAGGATACAGTATTAGTATAAAACTGAACTTAAGTTTCATCACATGCACCCAAAACTCTGGTAGTATCTATAATTGGACTATTAAAAGTGAATATGTTATTAGTTTGAAATATTGATTATCTGTGCTGGTTTTAAGTACAAATTGAAATAATCCTGATGTTATATTTTCAGTGAGACAGTACGACAATGCGACAACATGTGGTTTAGTGTGGACGTCAAATTTCGTTGCATATCGCTGTAGAACATGCGGCATCAGCCCGTGCATGTCACTGTGTGCCGACTGCTTCCAGGCCGGGAACCACACGGGGCATGATTTCAACATGTTTCGTAGCCAGGCAGGAGGAGCTTGCGACTGCGGGGACATCAGTGTTATGCAAGCTGACGGGTAAGTGCATGTGTGTGTGTGTGTGTGTGTGTGTGTGTGTGTGTGCAGTGTATGTCTACAACTTTTCAGTCTACTTATTTAGACAAATGAACCACAGTCTTAATATAAAACAACTGCTGAAATTTATACCACTGCAAACAGACTCATAACTTAGAAAAGCCCAATTCTTTCTCTCATCCATTGACTATAGATTAATATGCAAATCTAGATCGGGAATATTGAAAGCAAAATTGAAAATCTATTTTGGGAGAAATTGTGTGAGGGTAGTAAATTGTTTGTTTCCTAGCTAGGATAGCATGGTTAAGCAAACTGATGCTCAGCTGTTCTCAATCCACTGTGTCATAGATCCCATTCCCATAGATTTTAGATCGTTCTATCCCTGTGGGGAGTCTCACAAGATTACTGTCAACTTGGCCGGCTTAAGGGTGCTTTCCCAGAGATTTAGATCGATCTAAAGATTAAGATTTAGATCGACCTAACTCCCTTGGGGTTCACGCTAAATTGCAGTCAGCCGAGCGGGCACCATAGTTAATTTCCCCCTTAAAGATTTTAGTAGGCGGGACAGACGCTTAAGCCGGCCAAGCTGACAGTAATCTAGTGAGACTCCCCACAGAGATAGATCGATCTAAAAATCTATGGAAATGGGGTGTTAGTGTCTGTCCCGCCTACTACAAGCTGTAAGAGGGTAATTTACTGTTGTGCGCGCTCGGCTGACTGCAATTTAGTATGAACCCCAGTGGATCGATCTAAATCTCTGGGAATGCAGTCATAGTGGGTAGGGGTATTATCATTGGTCAGCTTTATGTGGGTAGATATGCTGTAGTAGATAACATTAGTCACTAGCTGGTCATGATGGTTAATTTTATTTATTCATTCTAAATTGGAAATATAATCTTTATCTATATGTTGTATGTGAAGTTATCATGTGATTTATAAATATGGCATGTATTTAATCCTTGCATATGTATAGTTAATAGATTAGAAACCCTGTCAATGTCACTGCACTATACATATTTAGTGCTCAGTAAACCTTTTAGTTACATTTATTACATCTGTTAAGAAGGTTATGTTTTGCCTATGTTGGCTTGTTAGTATTTTAAAAATAACAAAGCTCTAAAAGTTATGGACAGATTTTGATAACATTTCCAGGATAAATGAGAAATGATTTATTAATGGGTTTATAATAATAATAATAATAATAATAATAATAATGAGAACTTAACAGTCTTGAGCTGATTGTTTTTATAGTTATCTTTCGACTTGTTTTTGACAAATCTTATCATTTTTCTCAGAAAAAAGTGCATCTGTTATTGATATTAATTTCATAATTTCATAATATTTTGATTATCTTGCAATTTCCCAGCTATTTGACACAATACATGTATGTCTTAGAGTGAACCGTATCTTCTCTGTATATTGTAGATTCTGTAACCGTCATGGTCCAGGGAGAACAGACTCCAGTGTGGGGGCGCCACAGGAGCTGCTGGCCGTCGCTGAAGCCATGATGCCCAAACTATTAGTGAGACTTGTCCATCATCTCAGGAACAACTCACAACCAGGTATAATATTATAGAGTCAGTATATATATACTAGTTATATGTATACATGAAAGTGTATTATAATATATATTATAAATAACCTTAAGTTAACCTGAGGACAGAGGGCCTATGCATAAAACACTTACCTGTCATTAATTTTTTTTTAATTAATCAAATATTTAGTTATTTATTTGTATTTATTTTCCCCTTATTTTGTCATTCAGAGATGCTAGACACCTACCTGCTGGCGATGCAGGATGCGGACATGTTCCTGAGCTTTCTCCACTCTCTCAGTGAGATGGGTGCTGCCATGAAACAAGTCCTGACAGGAGCCCTCACCAACCCACAGGTGTACAGGAACTTTACAGAGAGTGAGTAGAGATAAAAATAAGGAGGAATGGGGGGGGGGGGCAGGATAGAGGGGGTAGTGTTAGAAAGTAGCTTTCACCAACCCTCAAGTGTACAGAAACTTTACAGAGAGTGAGTAGAGATAATGGAGGAATTAAGGGAGGGCGGAAGCGCAGGATGGAGGGGGGGGCAGTGTAAGAAAGTAGCCCTCACCAACCCCCAGGTCTACAGAAACTTTACATAGAGTGAGTAGAGATCATGGATGGAATGACTTGGGAAGGTTGTAGAAGTCTGGGATAGTAATAAAAAGCAATTTATTCATACCCATTCAAGCTTGCATTTGTTGATACTCTGACACTTTGTGGGTTATTTATGGCAATGAATCCAATATCCAAGCAAATTTTTTCTCCTGTTTTGACCTCAGTATGTGTTCTTCAGTTCTTAATAAGTTATATTCAATTCTTCTAGCTGATGGTGAAAACAGTCGCTCCAGACTTAGTCTACTACACAATCAAGACAACTACCTGTCAGCTCTCCAGACACTGAGGTGCCCCAGTATACCAGAGAACTTTACTAGTAAGAGTGGGTTGATTCTTGGTCTTATATTGATAAAATTATTAAAAAATTTAAATTAAAATTAGCACTGAATGATGCAACTGAAAGCAGTCCTTGTCAACAGATGATCTGGTGATGCCATTTAGTCTTATCTTCAGTTAAAGATAGGTCAGATTTGAAGTTCCTATTTGTTTTTGTTTATTAAAACTCTTTTTAAATATTGATAAACTATTTTGCTGTCCTTTCAGATATTCCAGGACTAAAACAAGATTTAAAGCACACCACCCTCCTGGAGGAGCTTATGTTTTGGACAGTAAAGTTTGAATTCCCTCAGAAAATTGTCTTTTTGCTGCTTAGTTTACTTCCAGATGAATATTTCAAGGTAACTGGGAGGGAGGGGGTTTAAAGAAAAAAGAAATAAAAAAAAAGAAATAGAAATTAAATGTTAAATTAATACAACACTCAAGTTTTTCATCTTGATGTAAGTTCATTTCCTAGAGTAGACTTACGTTCACAAAAAGATTATACCTTGAGTATTTCATTATAATAAGCTATTTGTCCTGTCGTTTGAAGAAGAATATAGGATTTGCATTCATGAATCAGATAAAATAAACACTCAGTCTGTTAAAATGTCATTGACACTACTACAAGTTGATGTCTTGTATTTGTAGGTGTGTTTCATCAAGGCGTTTGTCCAGCACTACAGCCGTAGCTCTATAGCTCTGGTTAATTCAGTGGACAGGTCCACTATAGCTAACAAAGTGGTCCACATTAGTGTCCAGTTATTTAGTAATGAGAAGTACTCCAGAGATATGGTGCTGGAACATAACCTGTTACACATCATGGTGGTCAGTTTGAAACATATGATAGGGAACGTGCTCACGGGGAGTGACATGCAAGGTGAGATGTGCACAGATACATGGAAGTGCACACACACTCACACACACACACACACACACACACACACACACACACACACACACACACACTAGGTCTGTGTACATGCACATATTGTCACATACACATTTACATGTATTTTTATCATCATCTTTGCTCACGTGAGAATAACATTTATTTATGTACTTAACAAGGTTTATTGGAATATGGAAAATTTTGTAAGTTGTTTACAGAAAGCACTAAGCTCAAATATTTTTCTGCACCTCATACATTGATCTGTGCAGTAGGAATATTTTCTCAAGATGACTTTTACCACACATATGCTTGATTTAGCGAAAAAGCTTAAAATACTGATAATTTGAAAATATTGTTTGATTGATTAATTAATTGATTGATTTCCTCAGGTGCAGAGACCAATATATTTATGTATTTATTTATTTATTTCCACAGATGCAGAGAACAACTTCCATGTTGTGGCAGACTGCGGACAGGAGATCATGAAGGACCACTGCTATTGGCCAATTATTAGTGACCTCATCAATGTGTTGTCCCACCAGTCAATTGCACACATCTTCATGGACAACAAGTCACTGATAGAGCTGTGGATGGAGCTGATATCTCACTTTCAAGGTGAGGGGGAAAGTTTTCTGACACTTCTGTACACACCCCTGCTGGTTACTTCTTATTAGGTGTTGGCTTTTCAAGTATTGCACCCAGTTTTGTTCTGAAATGGATGGCAGTAAATACACTTTGTTTAACATAAGTAAAATATTTGTAGGCTCTGTAAACAATGTTTGTAAAAAGATTAAGTTGAATAACTACAGTGGGCACAGCAGTTTTTAGACTTTTGGAAAAATCAGATGTCTCACTCTCCAGAACTCTTGTCTTGGAGAATCACAGATATTTTCTCCAAGAGTTCATTTTATCCCTAAAATAACAAAAGATCAATTTAAAACTCATTATAGTAAGTGATTATTATAATAATCATTGATTGAAACCTGATGGCAATTATTTATTGATCTATTTGTGTTTTTACAGGAATGAATCTCAACCAGCGCGAGCTGACGCAGCACGTGGAGTACGAGCCAGGCACGTATTACGCTGCATTCTCTGCGGAGCTGGAAATCTGCGCTTCTCCCATGTGGTCCATGGTGGGCCACCTGAAGAATGAGGTCAGTTCACACAGAGACCCATTTAGACCGGATGAGGGGCCAACTTGTGTCATCAGATAACAGTCTTATATATATATAATAATATTGTTTCTATTCTCTAAGCAGACTTTGATTACCATTTAATGAAAATGGTTTTGAAATTTTAATGGATCTTGTTAAAAAACAAAATAAAACGAACCAGTTTTTTTGTGAAAATGTAATTTTTTATTCTATATAGGGTGATGCAACAGAAGTATTATTCTTGAAGTAGAAATTACATATTAAACAAGTTCTACATGACATTTAGATTCACCTTCTATGTTGATCACTTCAATAATGATTTTACTCCCAAATTGTTATTACATCTCCCCTATTGTTTGGTGGAAGTTAGCTTATTTGTTTAAAGCTGTGTGTTAACTTCACACCAGAAGGTGCTGACAGTTTTATTTCATGAAAGATATCATTTATTGCTTTAACCTAATCCATCTGTTTTGTATTGGTGAATTCAGGCGTCCAGAAAACTGAGCAGAGATGTTTTGTCGGTCATCTTAGATGAAGTGGAAAGCTGGTTTGATGCCATCAATCTCAGAGGAGCTTTCAAGGTGAACTTAGTGTATGAATGATTGTGAAATGTGTCCCTTAACTTTACATATTAAGCTTTTATTTATTTATTTATTTATTTATTTATCTTTAAACTGATGGCCTCAATACTAATATGCTGGTTCCTGTATTTGTGTACTTAATGAAATGTTTAATTTTTTACACACAAAGGGGTATCAAAAGAATAATTTTGATAATGAAATAATCATTCTTTATGTTCTAAATTGAGCTTATATCTGTTCAAATCCCCCTCAGAAACTAATTTTAAAGAAATTGATTATTTAAACTGTCGTTATCATAGTGGATACTTTTGCCATGATGCAAGCAATTTGAAAACCACACAGTATTTCTCTTTGTCTAAACTCTTTATTGTGCACTTTTCTCTTCGTTTTCTCTCATTTTGTCTTCAGTTTATTCTTGAGTTCATTGATAAGTCTGTCTTAGATGACTCTGACACCTATATTTCAGGTGCCACAACTGTCCAGGTCTTTGCTTATTAGTTTCAAAGTATGTAGATCTTTGGTTAACGTGGCATGGATTGGGCCCTTCTTGTTTGACCTAGATATCTGTGCTTCTATGTCGTCTGCCTTGATGCCTGTCTCACATGTCTCAAATGACTCAGTTCTTAATAAAAATGGACTTTTATTGTTGTCTTATTGTATGACATTCTTGCTCCAGCTCTTATTTTCTTTCCGTTTTCTTTTTTCTTACCCCTCAAAAGTCTGTAGCATTTGCACATGTTTCTTTACCACATGCTGTATGATTCTTAAGTGGAAATTATTGTCATTATGTGCTTTGTACCTTATGTCTTATACCGTTATTCTTATAATCCTAGTAAGAAATTTTTTCTAAGTCAAAAAATCATTAGTCCAAGAATCAAAATTAATAATATGAAAGACTAGAGTGCGCTCTAGAGTTAAAGTTTCTTCTGTTTTGTGCTTTATGGATCTAAATAGTTTGAAATTTAAAAAAATGTTCTTTAAAAATCTTTTTCAAATAAAGGACGTACTACCAGACAAATGTGAGGTGGATTTATGTGCATTAGATGTAAAAAGTAGTATTTTGTCAAGTTTTTTCTAGCATGATTTGAAACTCTGAACAAACAAACTGATCAGAGTTTGGATATTTGAGTGCTTGAACACAAATTGAAAATTGCATGCATAGACTTCTTTCATTTGCTTCTTAATATATTGATTTGTTTTGTTTTCCCTCGATTTAGCATTTTCATTTTGTGCTTATGATTAGTGGAATGTTGGGAGCACAGTAGAGTAAAAGAAAGTATTGACAAGTTTGAAATGAAAGAGAAATATTGTGTGTTTACACTCCCATTTGGTCTCTTTCTTCTAGAAAAAATATAAATTGTTTAATAAAATGTGCTAGTAAGTAGAGAATGCAGCTAAGTATAAGAATGAGCTAGAAACATTCTGGAAAAATAGTTAAGACAAAAATAATAATAAACAAATTAGTACAAGGTAACCGGTACTGTTTTGAAAATGAAAAAAATTCAAAATGAATGAAAACATAAACTTTATGGACTTATGTCTTGCGTCAGAATACCATATATTTGTAATGCATGCATAGATAAGTTAAATGGCAATGTATATGTCTTATTTAGGCTAAGATTGGAATATTAAGGGGTCTGGTATCTTGTATAAGGAAGAACATTTCACTTTTAAAGTAGTAATGGCTCTATTTCAAGATAGTAAAACCATTGTACATTTCAATATTGATTAGAAATATGATAATTGCTGATAATATGATAATTATCATGTAAGAGGAGTAATTAAAACAACAAATAAATTGTATTATGAAATGCATCTTTCATCTCTCATCCTGTCAGCAAAACCTGTCACGGTTCATCAAACAAAAATTTTTTTCCAACGTTTTTGTATCTCATCTTCCAGCCTAACCCAATGCAGGTGTCCTTCCACATTCCTCTCCATCGCTACCTGGCCATTTTCCTCAGTAACGCGGTGCGCGTGCAGGGCCTGCAGCTGAAGGAGCTGCTGCCAAAAGAAGAGTCCCTGAAACTGATCATGATGCACCCGCTGCAACTTCAGGTGAGAAAATGTGGGCATATATAGAAAAGTGTATGTGAATACACTGTACATGTAATTAAAAAGAATGGATTTATCACTTACTATTTGATTGAACAAGAAATATTATTGAGTGTCAAGTGTCAAAAAATATGGAGTGTGTAGATGAAGATCTCTCCAAGGGACAAAACTAAATAATGCACCCCCATCGAACTTTTCAGTCTCGATTTCTAAAGCTGTTACTATTTGTAATCTGTTCATTTGTCATTCTTCTATTTCGATCTTTAAAATGAATAATTATGCGGTAGAAGCATGTCTTAACACTTGTGAATTCTGGTATTTCTCAATGTTATCTCCCAGGTGGCATGTTGTGAGATATTCTGTGGACTGTGGGTGAGGAATGGCCTTCAGATCAAAGGTCAAGCTATGACCTACATCCAGTGTCACTTCTGTAACTCACTGGTTGATGCTGACATGTACCTACTGCAGGTAACGTTAATTTCTGATACAATACAGTACAATACTAGTGCAATACAATACAATTCAATACAATAAATAGTACAACATACAGTACAATAAATTATAAAACTGAGATGTAAAGCACTTGTGACTTGAAAATGCTTTTTTTTTTTTACTTTGATGACTTTGAAAGGAAACAATGTCTTTTATGTGAGTAAAAAAGTGCATAATGATAATGTAGATCACAGCTTGCATTAATTAAAGAACAAAAAATATGTCTGGAAAGATCTTTTGTATCAATTTCAACATTTTCAGATGTTTTACCTTGCTTTTCCATCTTCACAATTTTTACTGTGTCATTTAAAAGCATTATGATGATTTATGGCACTTAAGAAGTATAATCATATCAGATAGTTAAGAAATATAAATAAATTAAATGCATATATTAGATACTTCCAAGAATTATGGTATTTTTCCCTTGCAGGTGTGTGCATGTGGCCTTGACCCGACCTACTTTCTGCACACCGTGATAGAGAGGTGAGTATACACTTAGACCAACAATAAAGAAGTATTTAATTGTCACCTTTCAGCTATATGTTTATAAGATTTTGATTTGAATCTTATTTTGAAAAACAATGTATGATAAAAAAATAAATATTCTCTTTTCAAAAAGCAGGTTTGAAGTTTTATTATTATTATTATTATTATTTTCTTTAAGGTTTCACATTCAGGATTGGCTGACTTTATCACCAATTCACCACAACCCGTATCTGGAGGCTGAGAAAGAACCAGCCATGGTGGAAGGCATGTTGAGTTTCCTTACAACATTGCTGACTACCAGGTTACATACAGGTCAGTTGAAGAACAGTTGTAGTTTCTAGTTCATTATGGATATGGATGCATCTTGCAACTGAAGTAGAACTCGGCTATGATGAAAGGAATATACAATTTTTGAAGATCAGTAGAGAAATTACTTCAAATGAAATAACTGGAGAACATACACTTTTAGGCTTTTTTTAAAGCTTCTAATTTAAGTTTTTTAAACTGATTAAGTTTAATGTATGTTATTTGTTTTATGTAATGCTCCACTTTTTTCCTCTCTGTTCACAATTGCCAAAATAAATTGATAATAGGAAGATGAATTAAACAAAATTGTAGTTTACACAATTTGCATTTTGACGTGGCTGACTAAAGCTATAAAGTCCCTTGTACATGCAATGCATAATATAGAAATAAAATATTATGACGTTAACTGCTGTTGTTCATCGTGTCAGGCATGGATGACAAAGAGACGACCCGTAAGGAGATGGTGGCTCTGCTGTGTGTGGCAGACAGGACACACAGCCAGCTTATGGACCTGATGCCTGAGAAATGTGGACTCACTGGGCAGACCAAGGACTTTGAAGCCACTCTTAAAGAGGTATATATAAAACCTACCCTTCTCTCTCTCTCTCTCTCTCTCTCTCTCTCTCTCTCTCTCTCTCTCTCTCTCTCTCACACACACACACACACACACACACTCACACACACACACACACACACACACAGAGCAATACTACACGTGCTTGTAGTATTTACCTGAAGGATATTGGAATATCTGCATACACCAATTTAACAAAGTAGAGGAGAAAAACTTAAAACTTATATGAGAAAATACTGAATGGCTTTGTTTCTATTCCTATCCAAGGTTGCAGATTATAAAGCCCCCACATTTGAGGCTGGAGGAGAGCTGCAGCAGGGGATGTATGTGCCAAAAGGTGAGTCTTTGTTTTAGATTACCCCATGGGGATGAATCTTTGTTTTCGTTAGAACCAAATAGTCTATCTGCTGCTCAGTTGTCTTGTTTATGCCATTTAAAGAGTTATGTTTTGAAAATTATAAATAAGGATTATTTATGGTCTGAGTATTTTTTTTATAGCATTTGACTTCATGTAAAGATGAAGAGCTTATGTTACTTCTTCAAACTATCGACAGAAGATGTGCTGATTTATATCATATGGCAGCAGGGTGAATCTGTTTAGAAAGAAAACCTCAGGAAGATATTAATTATTAAGTATTTTAGTATTGCTGATAAATTACCTTTTGTTTGTAACGCTTCATTTTCAGACTTTATCTGGGAGGAAGAGTTTGACCCTGTGTTTGTAAGCCTGAGAGCAGTTCAGAGGAAAGATCTGCAGGCGGCCATGGACAGATACACCAAGTAGTGAGTTCAACTTTTTACTGAAGTTTGTGTTTTTAAGTTTTCAGTGTTTTAGTGACATGGATCTAATCAAAAACCACTATGTGGACTCTGTTTCAAGGTCTGTTTAGTAAAGCATGTTAAAAATAGATTATTGCAAAGGTTAAAACAATTCTGCCAGTAAAGTTATTGAAAACGACTTTACTGTTTCATTGCCAAATATACTAGTCGTTAACTGCTGACTAGTGGCTTATGTTGCAGAGTATGCTCTGAGATAAGGAAAAAAAGCTAATTCATTTATTATTTATTGTATTTATTTTCCCCTCTTCCAGTATACAACAAGTTGGCAAGTACAGTGAGAAGCAGTCCCCGTGGCCTCCATTCCGACCCCTGGGGCAAGTGACAGAGCAGTACCAGGGCCTGAGACGTCTGCTACACTGCAAGACTTTCCATGGAATGATTTTCTCTGTACTCTACAAGGTCAGTTTTACGGCTTTTAATTAATAAGAACAAATGACCAGGTGTTACAATGTAGATGGTATCATGAATAATCTTAAAGATGCATACAGTCAATTTTTTGTCACAAAAACCAACCGAATGCCAGCATATAGCTTCAAGTAGTATAACTAAGAGAATTACCAAAAGGCATTGTTTAATTTTACCCAAAAATGATGTCTGAATGGATTTTTCTGCCAGCATTCTATGCTGTTTGTCAATGGGGCAAAAAAGTAGGTCATGCAAGTAGGTTAAATTTCCTACCAAATCTTTAAAGAAAGGAGCAGTCTAAAGCTCTTTTATGGCTGATCGAGTGATCTATTCAATTTATCCCTTGGCATGTCGGATTTATTTAAGTCGTATAAGAAACTAGTAGAAATGGTTTACATGTGTTACTGGGAATCCATGCTCCACCGATGCTTGGTTTGTATGTACCTTTAAATTTTTGGTGACAAATTACAGTATAATACAATGAAACCGTTTTGATGCCAGATGTTAATAAGTGCCAGCTTTATCTCTGTATGGCTCATTTGTACACATTTAATTCATGAAAGTTTCAGTTCATTAAATACAGTATAAGCCATCACCTAAACATTTGTCTCATAATAAACATATTTGTTATAATCTATATTATTAATTGTGATATTTATAAAGATTTCTATATCTCTCCAGGCAGTGTATGAGCCCCAGATGTCTGAGACAATCATCTACCTGTGTGTTTACCTGCTGGAAATGGCTGTCACCACACCTGCTACAGGTGTAACTGACAGGGTGGGTAGAAATTAGTTAACAGTACAGTGGTTAGAATTTAGTTAACAGTACAGGATAGATAGAAATTAGTTAACAGTACAGGGTGGTTAGAATTTAGTTAACAGTACAGGATAGATAGAAATTAGTTAACAGTACAGGGTGGTTAGAATTTAGTTAACAGTACAGGATAGGAAGAAATTAGTTAACAGTACAGGATAGGAAGAAATTAGTTAACAGTACAGGATAGATAGAAATTAGTTAACAGTACAGGGTGGGTAGAAATTAGTTAATAGTACAGGATGGGTAGAAATTAGTTAACAGTACAGGATAGGTAGAAATTAGTTAACAGTACAGGATAGGAAGAAATTAGTTAATAGTACAGGGTGGTTAGAAATTAGTTAACAGTAAAGTACAATAGATGTAACTTGATTAAGTATGGAGCACTTAAAGAACTCTTTGTGAAGTTCACTTTTCAAATAAAAATGTTTGTAAAACCATTTCATGGACAGATAATGATTATTTTGTTCACTTTTCTAGGAAATAGTGGTGCCAAAGCAAGTCCATGACAAGTTATTTAAGGAGTGGTTTCCTAGCAACAACATACAACAGAACTTGAGACATAAGATTCAACAGGTGCTTGTCTCCAGGGAAACCACCCACTCCCAGCCAGTTATCATAGACCTGGACACAGAGAGTTTATCTGAGATGTTTGAGCTGGCCCCCAGTGCTGTAGCCTGTAAGTATATGGGTTATTTTTTTTTTAACTAAGAATTTCAGTCAGATATTTCAATATTTGCCCAGAAATGTAAATTTATACCCTGTAAGAGATAGAATTCTCACATTGCTTCAGCTCTTTTGCCATGAAATTAGTCGAAATAGTGAATAATATTTTAGTCACATGACCTGGTCCAAATTATATGTGCAGTGGATATTTGTTAAGAAGAACTTTATTTTATCCACTTTCTTTCAAATATACAGAGTTCATTGCCTGACTAAGCCTTTGTTTTCTAACCTGGAACAATTCTTCTGTTCTCAGCCACCCAAGGTATCATCACATCTGGTTTACATGCTTCTGCTTTGACTGGAGCTGCCAGTGTTCAACAAGGTCAAGGTCAGCATCAAGGTCAAGGTTATAGTACGGGTCAGAACGAAGGTCAAGGGGCATCTCCGTCTCATCATAAAGTAACAGGTCAATCTGATGGGTCGTCAGGAGGAACGAGACCCAAGTATCAGAGCAGAGGGGTGGCGACAGACTTCAGCTCAGGAAGACATTCTGTGATTGACGTTAACGAGAGTTTAATATCTCTTCTGATTAAATTGCACAACAAGCTGTCAGGAAAACCAGGATCCTACGTTCCCGAGATTCTGCGTAGTACAACAATGGCGTCAGTGACAAGTGACCAGCCTAGTTCAGAGTCCCGTATCGGCAATGGGCCGCATTTCATTGGTCAGCTGCTGGACAGAATTGCTAGAATTAATATGGACAATGCTCGTATTGTTGAGGAGGTGTACAGACTGCTGCAGCCGCAGAAGACGAAAGACACCAGCGCAGGGCCGAGTGCAGCACAGGGGGCGGTGGATAAAGAAGAGAAGTAAATAGAGGGCGTGGTTTATCTATTATTTGATTGGTTTGTTGGCTCTTTGGTTGATTGGTTTGTTGGTTGGTTATTTTAGTGATTCATTCATTAGGTGAATTGTTGGAAAAAACATACTATTTAAAAATTATGTCTGCTCTCCTGAATGTTTCATATTTTATAGGTTTTTGAAAATTGTCATTTTATAATAACTGTCTTAGAAAATACTGTATATTTAAAAAAAAGTTGATATAACACTATAAGGAATCATAATTTTCAATGTGTTATGTTAGGAGGAGGAAAGCACGGGAACGGCAAGCCAAACTGATGGCTGACTTTGCGTCCAAACAGAGAGCATTCATGGAACAGGCCATGGAACTCAATGGTAGGTGATGAAACTAGGAAGTGATATGTGTGTGTGCCTCAGTGTGTGTGTGTGTGTGTGTGTGTGTGTGTGTGTGTGTGTGTGTGCCTCAGTGTGTGTGTCTGTGTGTGTATACATGCATGTTTTTGTGTGATTTTCTGGGCTGTTTATTGTCCTACCGCAAGTTTCAGATTTGCTCCTAGAACATAGACATATAACTGTATTGTGTGTTTAAGGGTGCATTCCCATATATTTTAGCTGTAAGGGGGTAATTAACTTTCGTGCCCGGTCGGCTGACAGCTATTTAGCGTGAACCCCCAGGGAGTTAGGTCGATCTAGTTGGATCGATCTTATCTCTGGGAATGGGGTCTAAGTGTGTGGTTTAACTCTGGAACACTTCATTTTAACTGCTGATCTCAAATCATAGATAACATGAAAGTTAGTATGAATGAAATATTTGTTTGTGATAATAGATGAAGAAGACAGTGAAGATGCAGGCATGGAGCAGACATTACCTGTGGTTGTGAAAGAATATGACTGTGTGATATGTAATCAGACCACCCCCTCTACACCAGATAGACTAGTAGGAATGGTAGTTCTACTACAGGCTACTAGTGGTAAGTTATAGTATATAATAATTATAACCAGACCATCCCCTCTACACCAGATAGACCAGTAGGAATGGTAGTTCTACTACAGGCTACTAGTGGTAAGTTATACTATATGAAGGCTTAAATCTTATTTAATGCTCAGATTATAATATTTATAACCAGACCACCCCCTCTATACCAGATACACCAGTAGGAATGGTGGATTTATTGCAGGCATCTTTTGATGAGTAGAAGTTGAACATGAGCTAAAAGTAAAAGAAATTACACAGTGTAATATTTAATATTTCTGTCATTACAGTTCTTGGTCACCGTCGTCAGGTGGAGGAGGTCCGCACCATGCCGACCAGTGAGGAGGAGATGAGACAGGTACGAGAGAGTACCAACTGTGGCCAGGTGCAGGCACAGAGGCTGAGGAAGATGGTGACGTATTTTGAGGAGGTGAGACATGAAAGGGAACATGATTTAAAGACTTTGGCTAGTTATTGATACACTTGAAAGATGTAAAAGTAGATGAGAAATTATGAATTTATTACCTCATATTTTGAAGAGGTGAGACGTGTAAAAGAACATTCTTTACACTGAGATTAAAAAAAACTATATTTATTTAGACATAAAAGAATATTTTTTATCCTGTAAAGATACCTAACTATTGTATTGTTACTCAAAGAAGATAAAAATTTGGTCATTTATAGACAATATTCACTTAACAGATTTTAAGACCAATCAAAATTAGATTTAAAATGTGTGAATTTATCATTGTAACTGTGTAAAATGACTTTGATTAAATAATACTGTATATTTCAGTCATCTTGTCTGCAGTCTATGAACATAGGCTGGGAGGGGGGCGTGGCAGCACAGACATGTGGTCACTATCTACATATAGACTGTCATGGCTCATATATGGAATCTGTGGTAGGTTTTTGTGGTTAAATGTATAAACACATGTTTATGTTTGTGTTTGAAGAGTGGTAAGATACAAAGAGAGAAATTTGGTCCAAAGGCAGAAACAATGCGAAATAAAGAATAATTAAAGATTGTATGCATATATTAATGTACTAAATTCACTTCTCCTGAAACATAAAAGAAAACTAAAATGTTGTATCTCAGAAATGATTTATAGTGCTGTAGGCTGTTGTGATGCTTTCTATTTTTATATCAGATACAAGATCGTAACCTGGCCCATGGTCTGGTGGTGTACAAAGGCGAGTATTGGTGCCCTCTGTGCCGGCAGTTAGCTAACGCCGTCTTTCCTGTCCTCCCTGACGTGGGCAACGTATCTGTGACGAGACCTGTACCTTCACATCCTCAGCAGTTAGTACACAGGGTGGCTGAACTCCTGGAACATAGACATATAACTGGGGTGAGTTATTATTAGTACAACAAGACCTGATTCTTCAAAAACATGTTATTTCAGGGTTCCAGTGAGATCACCCATGTGTTATATATAAAAGTAAACCTGTTATTTCAGGGTTCCAGTGAGATCACCCATGTGTTATATATAAAAGTAAACCTGTTATTTCAGGGTTCCAGTGAGATCACCCATGTGTTATATATATAAAAGTAAACCTGTTATTTCAGGGTTCCAGTGCGATCACCCATGTGTTATATATGAAAGTAAACCTGTTATTTCAGGGTTCCAGTGAGATCACCCATGTGTTATATATAAAAGTAAAACCTGTTATTTCAGGGTTCCAGTGAGATCACCCATGCCATGAGTGCTGCCATGGACAACATTACCAATGGCACATATGCTGAGTACAAGAATCTCACCAAGTCCCAGATCCCAGAGTCTATGCAGTGTTTTGTCTGCTCTGTTGCTAGGTAAGACAACTGTGTGTGTGTGTGTGTGTGTGTGTGTGTGTGCGTGTGTGTGTGTGTGTGTGCGTGTGTGGGGGGTTATAAGCAGGTTAATTTAGGGGATTATTGCAGTGTGTGAGAGTGTCACATATGTTATTGATGTATGTTTCTGTAAATGTTTGAAATACAGGAGGAAAAAGCCTTTGTTGGATAGAATTTTAAATAGTGTGTCATGTATATGGTTTCTGTGAAGGATTTTTTTCTCATGTATAAATCATTTACAAAAAAATTTGATGTTTTGATTTTCATTCACATTAAAAGGAAATAAAAAAGTATTCCTATGAATCAAGTTAAAAATAAAAAAAATCGATTTCTTAAATATGCTTTCTTTTTGTCTTTAGATGTAATTTAGAGTTAGAGTTACTGCAGAGAGGGGGTTCTTTATGTGGCCAACAGGGGGCAGCAGCAGCAATGACCAAGAGGTCCGCATTCTGTAAGTGATTGTGACTCAGTGGTACAAAGATTTGGGTAACTATGACTCTATCATAATGAAGCTTTTGGCACTTAAAGGATGTGCTTTTGTATAAACTGATTGGGAGAAGGAGGATGCCTTGGTCATCACAAACACTGACATCCTTATGTACAAGTTTGTAGATTGTTGTGGCTTAACAGATATCAGTGTGTATTTGTTGTCACAATGTGGTGGCCCAAGTTAACTACACATCTGAACACAGCAGACAAGGAGACCTGTTCCTCTGTTTCATAAACTATGAACTTATAATTAGGAATGTGCTGTTTGGATATATGCAGTTATCCCATGATGACAGTAAATGTTTTTGTCTTTTGTTAAAGGGATTTTAATCATTAAACTATAATTATAATAATACTTTACCAATGACCTGAAATTCTCATTATTTCACTGTTTTCCCCCTCTCTCCAGTGCCTCTGTTTCACGTCCTGAGCCTGCACAGTAAAATCCTCACTCTGAAACCTTATACAGATCTCTGGCAGCAAGTCAGTGGCATCAGCCAGGACTCCAACACAACAAGGTAATGAAACATGTTCGTATTGGCTTGAGTGACTCTTCTTGAGTGTGTCAATTTTGCTGCCCTAAAAACTAGGGTGATAGAAAATTAAAAAAATGCTATGCACCCCGCTAATAAGTTGTACATTGTACCAGTTATATTTCAGTATGTTATACATTGTTATATTATAGTATGCTATATATTGTTATATTTCAGTAGGTTATATATATTTCATTAAAAATAATAATAATAATAATAATAATAATAATTTATTCAGCCAATAAAATACAAATGTATAAAATCGGGAATCTTTTGCCCTGTAGTAGCGCCATTGAAATATAAAGAATGAAAATTAAAATTACATGTTAGAGTTAAAAATAGTTACTGCCAAAGGATAAAAGCTATTTAAAAATCGCTTACTACCCTTAAAAGCTAAGAGTCTTGAATTGCTGGGTAAAAATTTTAAAAGGGTATGGGCTGGATGGGAACTGTCTGTCATTATTGATAATGTTTTCTTTTTAGTCCTGTCTAGATATATAGTATGGACGGGAGTTAGATCTGTTCCAATTACAATCCCTGCAGTTTCGACAATCTTTTCCGACTTGTTCCTCTCCTCCACAGTTGCACGTCCATACCAAACAGTTACTGAATAAGTTAAAATACTCTCTAAAACACACCTGTAAAAGTTCGTTAAAATAAACACATTTCTGGTAAAAGCTTTCAATTTCCTTAAGAAATACATTCGTTGACATGCCTTTTTCAATATCTTCGTGATGTTATCGTCCCAGGTTAACCTATTATTCAGCTGCACCCCTAGTAATTTATAATTAGAAACCTGTTCGACCGCTTTACCGTTAACTTCCAAGGGATTTTTACTTATCTGATTTTTTCTGAAGTCTATGATCATTTCTTTTGTTTTGCTCACATTTAATATCAAGTCATTGTCTGTGCACCAATTTACTAAACTTGTAACCGACTGCCTGTATGACATCTCATCATTATGGTGTATCAAGCCGACTAAAGTTGTGTCATCGGCAAACTTCATTAAAAATGTATTTTCCTCTCTCGCCAGGTTATATATTGTTATATTTCAGTAGGTTATACATTAGTATATAAAACATTGTTATACTTCAGTATATGAAATGTTATATTTCAGTATGTTATACATTGTTATATTTCAGTATGTTATACATTGTTATATTTTAGTATGTTATACATTGTTATATTTTAGTATGTTATACATTGTTATATTTCAGTATGTTATACATTGTTATATTTCAGTATGTTATACATTGTTATATTTCAGTATATTATACTTTGTTATATTGCAGTGTCACAGTGTACCAAAAAGATGTCCCACTTTTGCTGAAAGATGTCACTGCTATCTTGATTCAGTTTATGCTCAATATGCCAACAGCTTTAGAAAAAGGTGAGCACACATGAAGACTTAAATTTAAAAAATAGTTTAATTTTGAAGTATTAGATGAACTGGTGATGGTATTTTTTGTTGATAAATTTAAGAATAGTAATGATGTGGTTGATGTTGTATAAATTATGATAGTTAAAAAGAAGGGTCTTTTTCTTATGAAGTTAACTTTTTTAAACTTTTGTTGACCTAACTTCAGAATTTGCATAGAAGTTAGCTGGAATTTAGATGTTGGTTTAGCATTACGTTCTCTTATTTCCAGAGTACTTCACCTGCCTGGTGCAGGCCCTGTACAATCTAGTCTGTATACAGGCGCTGGCAGTGACTTCCTGCAAGTTCCCTGAAGATGAAAGAACAGCTTGGAAGGAGAAAGGAACAGGGGTGAGAAAAAATTGAAACTCACATGTAAATTGAAATGTTGCTGCTTACATCGAAAGGAATGACTGAGTGTGTGTGTGTACGTCTCTCTCTCTCTCTCTCTCTCTCTCTCTCTCTCTCTCTCTCTCGTTCATAGTTGGAAAATTCAAGAACTGAATGTTTCCTCGTAATTTTGTACACTATGTTCCATCCCAGCATTGTGAAATAACTACTTGATGATACAAATTATCATTTCACCCACACATACACACCCATATTCCACCCACACACCTATATTTAACCCACAAACACACCCATATTTCACCCACACATGCCCCCCATATTTCAGGTATCAGTGGACAAAGTTGCTGCTTACTGGGATAAGTGTGACTGAGTCTCTCTCCTTCTCTCCTCATACCCCTTTCTCTTTCTCTCCCAATCTTCCTTCCCTGTCTCTCTCTCTCACTCTCTCTATACCCCCTATTCTTTGTCTCTCTCTCACTCTCTCTCTCTCTCTCTCTCTCTCTCTCTCTCTCAGCATTTCAGTCTGAAGTCACTGCATTGCAGAATGTTCAGAGTTGGGAAATTCGGGAACTAAAAGTGTTTCCTCGCTATTTAGTATTCTACGTTTCCATCCCAGCATCTTGAAATGTTCTTTTCTGATGAGACAACTAATTATTTTGCAACCCCATATTTCAGGTATCAGTGGACAGCCTGGAGGGTCTGCTGAGTACCATCATCACCCACCTGGGCCTGGGACGGTTATACGAAGATGTTGAGATGGACACACAAATTCCAGCTGTAAGTCTTGTATAGCACTTCTTTTAGAAGTCTAATTCTTGATTTGCTTATTGTTACAGACATAGGCGGTCAGTAGATTCTGAAAGAAATATTTTCAAAAATTTAGTATCATTTTTGCAATGTAATACATATATTTCACAATGGGTGAGGTCTGTGAAAATTTGTACATCAAATAATTTTTTCATACCATGGTGATATTATCTCAGTTTGTAGCTATTCCACAATGATTCTCATTCTGTACATGTCCCAGTTACATGTCTGATCATACACAAATAATTATTTCTTAATGAAAAATCAGTAAGAGTAAAAAAGTATGGAGAAAGGTAGCTCATGTTTGTTCTTCAGGCCAAGTTTACTGCATAAATTTCTTTTAAATGTTCACCTCTTGTGGCATATGTTTCCAGATCTGTCAAAGCGTGTGGTCACCACAGACTGTGGAGAGTTCAGTGCAGGATTTCTGTTTCCCCTTCCTCCGACTGGCTGCCCTACTGCAGTGCCATCTATTCCATGACAAGCTTCCTCACAGAATTGTAAGTTTACAAAGTTTTATTTTAGTTAAAAAGTGCCTCTACGACATTTTGAGGTTGGCTTCTGTGAAATATAAAAGCTATGCTGAATAAAAAGCATTTTAGACAATTACCTTCAGCTGAGTAGAAAGCGATTTCAAAATATTGCTAAATAACTTTATCAAAAGATACAGGATGTAAAAGTTTTCAATCTATCTCCAGGACTCTGACAATGAGTACCAAGCACTCTGCCAGTTCCTTGGTCTTGTCCACGGAGAAACTCCACGCACGCCATCTTGTGGCAGCCGTTTTGTGACTACGTCAGCCCTGAAGTGGTATTGTGAGAACCCTCGCAGCCTGCTCAGAGGCTGGTGCAGAGCCTTCAATGACTTTGTGAGCACTGAGCCCTGTGTAGGGAGGGTAAGTGATGGTTGTGAACACTGAGCCCTGTGTAGGGAGGGTAAGTGATGGTTGTGAACACTGATGTGTAAAATGCCACAGGCAACTAAAAAGAGAGGTTAGAGCTTCAGTGACTGACTAACATCAGGTTTTATGCCGTGTGTGTTTGTTTAATAGAAGTTATTTAGAAGCTTTTGTTTATACATTTTCTTTACTTGTTTTATAGTTCATAAGTCAAGTTGACAACATAATTTCAGTAATTTCTCTTTTCTCCTGCAGTACTTTCTCCTGGTGAACCCCACATGGTTTTCTCCCCGCCTGCTGACCCTCCCCAGGGAGTACGACAAGATCTTCCAGTACTACAGGAAGAAGCCGTGCCACACCTGTACCCGGGTCCCCAAGGAACCAGCGGTCTGTCTTATCTGTGGCCAGTTTTTATGTTTCAAGGAGAGCTGCTGTAGACAGGACCAGATCCATGAGTGTGTACAAGTAAGGGGCACTGCAGGAGCAGTTTGAGAACATCTTCTGGGTCGCCCAGAAGACGGTCAGATTTTTCAAGTTTATATTGATGGGTATCTATTTTTTGTTGGAAGACAGTCAAATATGGAGGATGGATGAACAAAGATGATTTGGAAGACTGTCAGAAAATATCTATGGATCCTCCCCTGCACTGCGGTGGTTGCTGGATACTGTGATGATTAATAATGTCATTTGTTTATGGAAATACTCAGTCTTAACATATCGGGCTTGTTTAATTTGTTTTTCGACTGCTGTAATATTCGAGAGCTAAATTCAAGATATGTATTTGGCAATTATTTTTCAACCCTTGATAGATGCATGGTATTTCGATAATAAGGCAAAACAGAATTAACTGATGAAAAGAGCAACATCTGTGCTTTCTGTCGGAAAAACTGCTGTAGGCAAAATCAGAAGCATAAATGTAATTTTCCGTTATGAGAATTTCCCCATTACTCATGGATTTCTGACTTTTTAGGAGCCAGAGATATCATTGGCCTAGGCAGCCCCCTGGACTTTACTCCATATATTCCAACTTTTTCACTAAATTGCAATCTAAGCCCTGAATTTTATTTATTTATTTATTTATTTCCAGCATTCTATCCACTGTGGTGCTGGTACAGGGCTGTTCCTATCTGTGAACTCCTCAGTAATAGTGGTGGTACGAGGTCCCCGCGCCACCCTCTGGGGGTCAGTTTACTTGGACGAGTACGGGGAGGAGGACAGAGAACTCAAGTATGGCTGCCATCATTCTAGAACTTTGATCGTAACCAGAATACTCATTTACTTCCAAGGGGCTGAGAAATTCCATTTTAACTTTTTGTTTGTGACCAGAATATTCATTTACTTCCAAAAAAGCTGAGAAATTTCATTGTAGCACTTTGTTTGTAACTAGAATGTTTAGTTTCTTCCAAAGAGCTGAGAAATTTATTCTGTTTTAGAAGAAACAGTTGTTTTGGAAATCATTACTGCATAAAACTTTTATGAATTATTAATAAGCAATTGTAAAAACAGATCAATATTAAAGCTCCCAACTCTTTGACTTCTTTTATTTTCCATTTTTTAGGCGAGGCAAACCCCTGTATCTGAGTCATGAGAGATACAAGATACTGGAGCAGCAGTGGATCACCCACAGTTTTGACCACACCTGCAAAAGATGGATCTTTCATCAAGACAGGCTCTAAAACACAGACAAAACCTTGTTAAATTGTCCAGGATCATTACACCCCATATCAGTGCACTGTTTTTAAAGTTCAGCAGTAGGTCAAATAACCCAGTGAGGTTGGGAAAGTGGCTTTATAACTTGACCTTGACCTGACCCATCTGAGACTGTGACCTTAATGTGACCTTAATTTGTCCTTGACCTGACCCATCAGAGAGTGTGACCTTGATGTGACCTCTGAAAGTTTGGCCTCTGTGAGACCTAACAGAATGTTACATTGATTTGACAGTTCATATATTGGAAAGAAAAATTGGGGAGAAGATTTTTAAAACATTTACTTAGTTATTTGACTGCTGAAGGAAACAGTGAATTATGTGTTATATTGTTTTAAATTTTGCTTTTTCTGTTTTGCTGATGTCCACAGAGTTTTCAAGAGAATATTTTTGCGAAATATCTGCTCTGAATTCTGAAGGAATTTGTTTTTGTAAATACTCTTTGGGTAGATGTGTCATGATTTGACTGATGAAACAAAGACACCACATTTCACGTTATTTATTTTAAAACAACATTTTTTATGTGATAGCACATTGTCAACACCTGTGGCCAAAACATACCTTCTTTGGCAAAAAAGGTCTGTCGCTGTTTGCACCTACATAGCTATATGGTGGACATTTAAAATAACTGTAAAAACGCTATTGCTTGAACACTGTGTTTGAAGCTAAATTGAAAGTGTCACAGTGTTTTTTTTTATAAAAGGTGAATATCTGTATCACTATTTCTTATAAATTATTATAATTTATTCAGTTTGAAATATCTTCATGTTGACAGGCTCTCAGAACTGACTAATCCATTATTACATATATTTAATGGTTGTTAATTCTCATAAATTTTTCACTAACTGGTTCAACAGTTAGCTGAATGATGCTGCGTTTTATAAATTATTAACTTATGAGCATATGATTCAGTCATTTTTGGATTGTTGAAGGAATAAACATTTTCTAAGTTAAGTCTCCGTTTTTCGTCCTGTTTTAATATGTGTTGGACAGAAAAGAAACCGGGTTTCAGCACCAATTGAAATGTAGGCGACACTGCCCAGGATGTTGGTATAAAATCCAATGTATGTTTCCTGACCAATAACTTGACCTGTCCAGTGAAGGTCCGCAAAGCGTCAACGTTTGGTATGTTAGCGCGTTTCCTTATGTTAGCGTGTTTTATTACTTCCTCATTATAGGCCATTAGAAATTCTGCCTTTCCAGACGATCTTGAGTAACTGGCGCACGGATGCCAGGCGTTGCCGTTTACGACAGTTGTGGCGGTACAAATTTATGGCCCTGTGGTGCAACCGCGCCCTGATGAAATCGTCTTTGGTAATACTTACTCCAATGCGATAGCTGTGACAGAAGGAGGAAGAGATTTTAGACCTTGTAATAGAGGGTACCGGAGGAGAGAGGCTCTTGCAGAAAGTGAAGGACCTTGTGAAAACCAGGAAGTAGTTCGCAACTGACAACTGAATTATATGATCTTATGTGAGCTATCCTAGCAGAGCACCTAGCAGGGTACCCTACACCAGTGCCGCAGATGGACTTTTGACTAAATATTCACAGATATGTCTCCGGCCTTTTACGCCACAATTATGAGGGCACAAAAAGTGCACATTATTGGCCACAGGCATATCTGTGAATAGCTAGTGGAAATTCAATCTGTGGCCCTGGAAGTGGATATCCAAGAATACCGGGGTGGGAGTGGGTGGGTGGTTGGAGGGGGGGAGGGGAGGGGGTGGAGGTCGTCAAAAGTGTAAATAAACAAAGGGAGAATGTTTTTCGTTTTAAATAAAAGCATTGACACGATTTCTTAAAAAAGAAAACCTGCCTAAGAATACCCGTTGAATGCAGTAAAAGGTTCATATAGTATGACGTGCTTCCATACTGGGTGCGCTATGCAATCAAACTTTTAATTTAAATACAAGTAAAATTGTTGAATCCAGCTTTAGTAATTAAAAGTGTGTATTTGTTTTATATATTTATTGTTATATTAGGAATGCCTTTATTCTAATCATTCAGAAAATTTTGCGACGGGGATAGGGAATTCTCCTTAGCGTCCAGCTTCCTGTATTTAAAAATTCGGTGGTTGAAATAAAAGAAAAGGGGTTTCGAAATAGAGTAAAAGTATCCAAGTAAAAGATTTAGCCGACCAGGGTGGAACTGTATAAGACGGGCCGTGTTCTCACTGTAGTGTTCACAAATATAATTCCCAGACATGTAAATTAATTTGATTAGAGTCGATTGCTTGTGCACTCGACTCGTTTTATGGCCTTACCTGAAGTCATGTAACTTAAGTGGACGTGTGCAATTTGAATAATTAAAATTAGTATGTACCGCCAAATTACTGCAGCACAGAATCCACCTAAAGATAAGAAATGGGTATAAAAGACGTCTAGAATTAATATCGGGGGCAGACTGAAGAAGACACGAAGTAGACCGCTCGTCGGAGCTATGGGAGACGGCTTAGAAGTTGGAGGCTTCACGTATAGAACATGTAGTTAGAGATCGTCAACGAATAAACCATTAAACTGGTCATTATGTGGACTTGGGTTTTCTTTGCGCGACATTACGTAAATCTGACACGAACCGTGGAATTTCGAATTGCGTTATCCACTGAGTAAGTTTAAAACGTAATGTCCTATTTCGAGCCCACGCTTGAATTAAGCGTTCTAAATTACATAAGTTTAGGACATTCATCTCATATGTATATGTAAAGGTACTTAACATCACGGATTTTCACTAAATTCATTCTTTCTTTTGAGAGATACTGGACCACCAGCTTTGTCCGTGTTTCTGATTTTGTCAACTGTTATTGAGTAATACCCCTATGATCCAAGGGCGCAAAGATAAAGCAAACATATATATCTTGAAGGTTTAAAACAAATAATAAGACGACCAGCATAGAAGGCACAGTTTTTATCCAAATACAGAATATCGGATGAGGCGTTTTGCCCACCAGAAAATTTTCCAGCTAAAATAAACGATAGTTTTCACCAGTCTGTATTTTTCTGAATGAAAGCAAAAGTGGCTAATTTAAATACTTGTTTATATTCAACACCGCAGCTAACTGAAGAGTCATTAAAATGTCCATGTGCAGAACGCATCCGTGTGGTGCTGCGGCGTGATGACGTCATCTGTTACTTTTGAGGGACCGCTGCAGGCCTGAAAGAGAACGAAAATGTCAGTTTACAATGAAGCGTCTGTTCAAACCCTTGTGGAGTGATAGATGTAAGAAGCATAGCATCCATTTGACCGTGTTTGTCGACAATTATACATGTAGTATTGTCGTGGTTTTAACTGTCTTTGGGCGTGTGCCAAATCCTGGAATCTTCTCTGAGGGTCACTTGGTGCAAACGGTGTTAAGATCTCTTTTAAAATTCTAGTCACGATACCAGCAGACATGCCAAGATGGAGGCGAGGCAGAGAACGTGAGTTAAGCGTGCACACTCCACACCCCCTTGACCAGCAGGCGTGGTCGTGACTTCACCGGGCAGCAGGCAGTCGGGGGCGGAGTATACGATGACGTAGCCAGGCCTGTGGACGAGAAACACCCTCACTGAAGACATACAGTGGAAAGATTCACCGATGCCGCCGTCCGGAATGAATTATTTATACGTCACACATGTAAGCATTGATTTGTGACGCAATTCTAGAAATGTTAACGTTTGGGGAGTTTTTTTTTTTTTTTTTGAAAATCTGACGATTTGTGATAAATGTTTAGATGTATATATTTTTTCAAAAGCATTACAGAAACACTGGGATATGTGTGTCTGAACTATAGACACGTACAGTGGAGGAGTCAGCATTCACTCCGCCCCACTTTAAAGGTAGAATATAAGAGTAGGGCATCGAGATGAAGGATATTTGTGTGCGATCATTCATACAAATATCCCCCATCATTGATAGTACATAAACACCTAATTAAATTCTTGCGATTAAGATGCAGCAAGTTACTCTACGTTGATATAGAACATAACCACTCTTTGCTTTGAAAACAGAATCAAAATTACCATTCGCTGCAGTTATGCCTCTTGGTTAAACTGTTGATTATTGAGATTTCGAAAACTGAAATAGTTGATTTAATATCCTGAATGGTCTGCAGTACACTGCTATCGCCACTCTGTTAAGATGCTATTGACACTCTGTTAAGATGCTATTGACACTCTGTTAAGAT